AACACTGCAAAAAATTGCGATGCATATCATCGTTGAGTGTGCTTTTATAATCATATCACGACGATGGTTGAAACACGAGTTTGGATACACCTGAAATATTTAGTTTCTATGACCTCCTAAAAGCACAGAATACGGAAATCTAACAAATGTGACAAGTCACCATCTGGGGAACGCCAACATGCATTTGAAGAGGCATGTTTGTCAAGCCAATAGCCTGGAGCGCGCCATCCAGAAGAGCTCTGAGCACAGGGAATGGCTCATGCGCAAGTATGGGATGCGCATCAGTCATTGCTGTGCCCACCGAGAATTTCGCGAGGGAAACAAACACGTTCCGTCTGTGTTTTCTCTGCTGACAACGTATTCCGCCAATCAGTTTCACACACGTTTACATGTGCTCGCCAAATCTGATATACTATCACACAGACTGAGTCAAGATAAGAAACCCAGTTATTTTGTGGTACAAATCTCAAAATGTTCTCAAACGGTTGACACCTCAGCTGAAACCTGCGCGTTCACCTTTTGCCAATCTATAAGGCTATTCTGCGTACGCGTGTTCTCTGCATCCAGCGACCACTGGTTCCCCTAAGGTAAGTTAATTAGGCAAATATACAATGCCCAGGTAAATTTCCAATCCATCGTCAGTGGCTGGCCGAACACGATCTACCAGAAGGTGGCGTAGCTGTATCTCTGGTCTGCAGACCTCAGCCATCACCAGCAGAAGGTTTAGATAAGCGGCTGGAATGTGTAGTTAGCCAACTAAAGTTGCTAGAGCCTTGTAGATCTGCCAGATACATGGAGCAGCTAATTGTCCAAACGCAGCTAACGCTACGTCAAAATTCACGATTACGCCTTTTGAGCGATTGGCTGAACTGAATGACATATATAGAACGATTTCAAAATTAGACGATGTTCGGACACCAAAACGTAGAAAAACGAGCAACGCTTCTGCCGTCTATCCTGTGAATGAAGCCCCAGATAGCAACGTTGAGTAGATGTTCATGTATTCAGGTTTGGCGCAAAAGTCCTGGATAACCGGTAGATGGTCGTATTGTAATAAATCACACATTACCTGGGAAGACCAGTTTAAGTGATCAGTCCTCTCGCCGATATTGCTCATTTTCGTTGGTTGCCATGCTAAGGCTGACACAAACGGAACACACACAGAGGCATACGAACCGCTGGTGTTATCCCAGTTTGTTTGATATCCTGCGGATTTGCGTCACGCTGAATGGGCCCTCTTAAATGCACGGTACTTAGTAGTGCTTTGGTGTATATTTACTTTACGATCTTAAAGGAAGAGATAAGTTCCCAGAACAACTACTGAACTAAGTCCACTTTCTTTGAAATATCAGCACAGTTGTAAGTCTGTTTGCATTAAGCACCAACCAGTATCATCTAGAACCAGTTCGTGCACTGCGTTCTGTTTCTGTAGAGAAAAATGCTGGTAGCGTGCTTGCTGCAGTGTGCGGGTCTTCGGCTCATGAGCTTTCCTTCTGTTTTCCATCCACAAAATTTGTCCTGCCTTTGGAGGAACACAGTCCCCTATTGCTTCTATAGCGTACATACTGCAGCAAGCACGCTTATTAGTAATTCACGTGGACCTGCTGTTCTCACCGGGCTATCTTTGGACTTGCACTAATTCGTGTAACAGATGGGTAGAATTTCCCATAATTTGATCTCTGGATTATCATACTAATGCACGGACCGCATTTATAACTGCCTGGACTGTTTTTCACATCGCGGATCTGCTGGCATGCACGAGGGATGAAACCCTCGTGTGATGGCCGGTTACGCCTTGCAGGGAGGGTCACCCTGTTACGTTGCACTATGTTGCGTTCATATAACTGCCATCCCTCCAGTAGAACGGGTGCATCGCTTGTCGCCCCTGGTTCTGAGCCTGGTCTTTAAATTCAGGATATTAAATAGAGCACTGCTTTCTGCTGTTTGTTGTTAACGGTGTTGGACACGCTTCGGTTGAGTGGCAACACTATAGGACGGGTGCATCGCTTGTCGCCCCTGGTTCTGAGCCTGGTCTTTAAATTCAGGATATTAAATAGAGCACTGCTTTCTGCTGTTTGTTGTTAACGGTGTTGGACACGCTTCGGTTGAGTTATCTGGCAACACTACAAAGTGCGGGTGAAAATAACTGGCCTTTCCCCTTGAAAAATAATAAGCCTGGGATAGCCTGAAGATACTCTGCGGCACACATGGCTCAGATCGACGAATCCAAACCTTCCACTACCAGCATGCGAGGCCAGCGTCAAAAGTCTTCTTTGCCATGCACCACCTATAGACTGAAGTTGACAGGATTGCTTCAGGGACTGGTGGCCACCCCCCTTACATTCACCTTCTCCCTAGATTGTCCTGGTATTGTTCAACTCGCAAATCACCCCCAGAAAATCTGGCCCACCATCTCAGAAGTTCCACTCACACCATTCTTATTCGTTTAGTTTCTCCTACCACGCCGCCCCTCTGCCTATTTACGCCGAACTTTTCTCTATCTCAGGTAGTGTAACAGCATATATTGGCAAACTTAGCTTGACTTTGGTGACTAGACTATTCAGTGTAGTACCATTCTTATACCCTCTCGTCTAACCACTTGTGGTCACCACCATAACTGTGGCAAACATTCAGATTATTTCCCTATTATAGGACTATATCCTGCTTGAGGAATCCTATAACGCCATGGAGGAGAAGTTGCATATAGCTTGGAGCACGAATTAACTCACCAACAGCTAGAATCATTGGAATTGTGCAGTTCTGCCTGTCTGAATTATGTTTCTGGCAGGGACCATGCCTCGTGTTTCCTTCGGATGACAT